GGCTCAGGACTCGGGGAAAAGGGCCGGCAGCACCCCTCGCTCGCCGGCTCTCTCCCAAGACAGCGTCTCTTGCACCTTCCATCTGGAACTGCAGCCTGCCAGCTGGCAGACAGGCAGGATGGCTGGCAGGCTGCAGTTTCGGATGGAGGGTGCAAGAGGCACTGTCTTGGGAGAGAGCTGGCGAGAGAGGCGAGGCTTTTTTTGACTCTTGACAGCAGAGGATGCGTGGGCGCTTTGGGGGGGAGGCAAGGTGGGGGCCGCAAACTATCATCCGGCAGGCCGCAAATGGCCCCCGGGCCACATGTTTGAGACCCGTTAGACTCATTGTAATGAATGAGACTTAACGCTGCTTGGAACTTTTCATTTCTGTGAGTCTCCTTTAGGTAGACCTACTTTAGGTAGGTTGAATGTAGGTTAAGGTTGAATATAGCCCCCCAAATTCCACTAAACGCTAGCTGTGTGTGCTCACCCTTAGTTTAGAAACTTCCTCTTAATATCCTTAAAGTCTGTGCTGCAGAAAAGAGTTCATGTCTGGCCCAGATCTCAAAGACACTGAATACATACCACTCGGGAAACAAAACCTTCAATCACATTGTGTGGCAAGCTAAATGGAGCTGTGTGAGCAATGGCACTCCAGTGAGCTGAGAGGGAATCAAGGCAGAGGGTCTAACTTGGGGTGCATTTCCTCCTTCTGTGCACACAGTAACTGCTTGCTTGTCTCTGTGGATCAGGACTGCAACGGATAACAACAAGACTTTCTCAAGTCACTTCCTGGAGATTAATCGCAGCACAGTATTTATTGAACATTGATTGACTGACTGACTGACTGACTGACTGACTGACTGACTGACTGACTGACTGACTGACTGACTGATTCATTCATTCATTCATTCATTCATTCATTCATTCATTGGAAAAAACCTCAGAGTATAATCAAAACCATACTGCTCGGATCTGTGTAATTCAAGGGAGAAATGTGCTTCCAGGAGTATCAGCACTGGACGTTTAAGACCTCACAAGTAAAGATGGGGAACAGCCACATTCCTTTCTGTGAGCACTACAAGGACTTCCCCTCCATCTTTGTGGATGCCCGTGCCTTGGCAAGAACTCTGCTGATGTGCAAAACAACTGCACAAAATAACCCAGGGTGCGCAAAACTTTTTCAGTTTTAGTGCAAAACTGGCAAAGATTTTTGCACAAGTGGTCTTGTAGAGTTCTGCATCGCTCCCAGTGTGAAAAGTGCCCTCTCACCTTAGTTTCCCAGCATCAGAGTTCCCACTTGTGAGCTCACAAGTGCAAAATCATGACCCTAGAAAGGTAAAACCCCACACTACAAACCCTATGATCCGGGTTGCATTTCTTTGTGTGGAGTTTGCATACCATGCTGTGTTGCACGGTATCCTTTACCAGCATCCTATGCTGTGATTATGTAGGCATGGGTATGGTCATTGAATTCAACAGAAGGAACATTTCATGTGCAGGTCTGGGTCTGATGAGAAATGGTGTTGTCAGCGCAAGCATAGTCTCAGGTATAAGACATGGCACTGCTGTCCTCGATGGTAGGTTGCCGTATAAAGTTTCTGCAGGCACCAAACGGGAGAATGCTAGTCTACTGTCACTGTACATCCTTCTACTGCCAACATCTCTTTCCCAACCCCAGTTGCTATGCTGATCAAGTGTCCTGCTGGGGTCGAAATGGGCTGCCAGCATGATAGCAATAGTGAGTGCCACACTATCAGGCTGGTGGCACATGTTGGCTTCCAGAGTTTCTACAATATTTTAAAGCCCCTTAGCTAGGGTAAAGAGGATGCAACATGAGAAGGAAAGGTTGGGAAAGTGACTGCTATGGACAAACCCTTACATTTCTAAGCTCTGATTAAGTACTCTTAGTACATCTGCAACTGTACATCTCACTTTTCTATAAATGGATGCAGCATACTGCCGAAACAAGTTACAGGCTTTAAAAAAACCCATGTAAAGAATAAAAATAAAAATCAATAAAGGAGTTCTCAGGAAAACTTGTTCCCTGGAATACAAAGTATCATCATATTTACATGCGGACTAAACCAACAAGAACTATTGATTTTCACTTTGTTTACCTTCTGAACTCAGTGACTGCCAGCGTCTGGAAACCCGAAAACAGAGACATGCTTCCTTCTGATCTTGAAGTCTTCATACCCTGCCTTCACAAAGTATCAGATACACTGTCCTATCTTCCATAGCTGGTGACAAAGTAACAAAACACACAATAGCTTCCTCCTGGAAAAGCAGACAGTTGTTGCTGTCATACTGTTCACAGTGACCTTCCTTCCTTCCTTCCTTCCTTCCTTCCTTCCTTCCTTCCTTCCTTGAAGCAAGTCAGACAAGAAGTGCATCAGCCAGCTGCCTTCCCTAGCATGGGAATAGTCTCTCCCCAAGACATCACATTTAAAAAATATTGAAAAGCTAAAAACAGTAGACAAAAGTTTAAAAAAGAATTAAACAAGTATTATATTAAAATGGCAAATAAATTCAATATTAAAACACATTCAAAACAACAGAGCACAAACATCCATGTAGAATCGCTCTCAGACAGCCACTCTTTAAGGGAAAGCTTGCCCTGTAGTCAAGAAGGAAGCCTCTAGGGTGATGGCTAGCAGTAGGCCCACCGCCTCCTCACTGGATCCTTGCCCAGTGTGGCTGATCAGAGCCACAAAAGGGGCTATGATTGATTGGGTCGTGAACATCGTTAGTTCATCACTGAGGGAGGGAAAGCTTGCCTCCCGCTTAAAAGAAACCATCATCCCACCTATAATCAAATGCCCCCAACTAGTGTTGGACAACCTTAATCATTTCCATCCAATCACTAATATACAATTTATTGGGCAAGGTGATTGAGAAGGTGTTGGCCAATCAGCTGCAGATATACCTTGATCAGCTGTATTGCCTTGATCCATTCCAGTCTGGATTCAGGCCGCGACAGGGTGATACTGGTGAGATGATACTGGTCACACTGCAGATACTGGTCACACTGCAGGATGACCTTTAAGGGAGACTGATGGGCAGATGCACCCTGCTGATACTCCTAGATCTGTCAGCATACCATTGACCACAGTGTCCTCTTGGACTAGCTTTCTGAGGTTGGGATTAGGGGCTTAGCATTTACCTGGATCCTATCTTTGCTCAAGGACCATGTTGAGAGAGTTCAGCTAGGGGAGGAGGTATCAGCAGCTTGGACCCTTCGGTGTGGGGTTCCTCAGGGATCGGCATTATCCCCAATGCTGTTTAATATCTATGTTAAGCCATTGGGGTAGGTCATCAGGAGTTTTGGAATAAGATGTCATCTGTATGCTGATGACACACAACTCTATCTCTCCACTACCATCTCTGCAGTGGATGCTATCTGGACACTGCAGGGTTGCCTGGTTGCAGTACTGGAATGGACCAGGGCTAACAAGCTCAAACTGAACCCAGACAAGACAGAGATTTTGCCCCTGGGAGGGACCTCTGATAGGTTAGGGGGATGGCCCCTAGGCTGGATGGTAAGTACTCCCCTCCAGTTTAGAGACCAAGTGCATAAGGGCGTTCTCCTCCTCTTGGGAGTCCCAGATTGCAGTTGTATTCAGATCAGCCTTCAACCATCTTAGGCTAACTGCCCAACTTTGCCCCTGCCTAGACAAAGACTCCCTCAGGACTTTGGTGCAGGTCCTGGATCGACTACTTCAATGCCCTCTATGTGGGGCTCCCCTTGAACCTGATCCAGAGACTTCAGCAGGTCCAGAATGGGGCAGCTAGACTGGCGGTTGGTGCGAGCAAATTTGACCTCATCAGTTCTGGCTCGCCTCCACTGCTTGCCCAGATCAGATTCAATGTTTTGACACTCTCATGCAAAGCTCTCCACGTTTTGGGCCCATGTTATTTGTCAGAGTGTCTCTCCTTCATGTTATTTGCCCAACCCACAACATCATCCCAGTCGAGGCTCCTCCGGGTGGCCACCCCAAGGGAGGCCCATAAATCCGGAAGCTGGTTCCAAAACATTGGAGCCACCCCAAAGAAGGTAGTGCCTTCTTTGCGGTGGCTCCAACACTATGGAGCCAGCTTCTGGAGATGCTCTGCCTAACCCACTTCCCTGTGGATTTTTAAGAAGCAATTAAAGACATTGCTTTTCAGGGAGGCTTTCCACACCGACCCCAGATAATTACCTTCTTCCCCTTTTTTTCTTTCCCATCCTCTTCTTCCCTCTCCTCTTTTCCTCCATCTGCTCTGAGATTAGTTGGTGCCATCTGTTTTTTAAGGGTTATTGTTACCGGTTTTAATATTTCTATTTTCACTTATGTTTTCTATTTTATGAGTCGTAATCCACCCAGCATAATGCTGTTACACTAATGGGAGTGGGATAATGAATGAATGAATGAATAAATGAATGAATGAATGAATGAATGAAGGAATGAATGAAGAGAGAGAGAGAGAGAGAGAGAGGGCTTTGCCTGCTTCCGGAAGGACAGCAAAGATGAGCCCAGTCTGGCCTCCTGTGGGAGGGAGTTCCAGAGTCTGTGAGCAGTGACAGAGAAGGGCCTTTAAGCTACAGTAGTGCTAAGTCAACGGTGGGGAAACCTTTCCACATTTGGACTGAATTCCAGCTTGGGAAGGATTGGGAGGTCCATTCCAGAGATCGATGGGGCAAAGAAGATGGGATGTGGGGGGACAAAGCAAAGTGGGCAGGAATATATATCTTACACATTTGCACATGTTCATATCAATTGGGCAAAGCACAGCTCAGCTCCATGCAAAGCTTCCTGGATGTAAACATTGCCCATATGTGTGAAGTAGTGAAGTAGACCACATCCCCTCACAGGTTGTTCTTTCCTTAATATCTTAATAGTTACCACATTCCCTGAGTATTGTTACCAGCTTTCTGATCTCCACTGCACCACTTCACATAAACCTCTCCAAGTCCCAAGACAGGGAGACTGCTCTCAAAACTACCATTCAATAAATTCACTTCCATGAAAACTCACATAAAAAAAATTTAACAATTAGTCTTTAGAAGTGCCACCACATTTTTGTCTTAACTCTTTATTTTTATTTTGTTTTCATCGAGGGAGACTGCTCCCAAAACTACCATTCAATAAATTCACCTCCATGAAAACTCACATTAAAAAAATTTAACAGTTAGTCGTTAGAAGTGCCACCACGTTTTTGTCTTAACTCTTTATTTTCATTTTGTTTTCATCTATAATGCTTGCAGATACTAAAATGGCTAACCCTTCCACATCCAAATAAATGTTGCATTTGTCTCTCGCTTAGAAGCTTATTGCAGTGTTTCTCAGCCTTTTGAACCCAATATTAATCCCCCATTGAGACACACAAATCTTGTGCTTGGAAGTAAATGCTTACACATAACTTAGCTATCATCACCAGTTACAAATATGGTAACCAGGTTGCTGTAACTGATTATTTTTGGTAGCAAGCAATGTGATTAGTAGTTACAAAGTTACCTCTTAAATATAAATACTAGCACCTACATTACTAAGGTGTATCAAGTAACACCTATTTATTCTCCAAAGTTACTTTTTAAATACATTTTTTACTATATTTTATGGCAAGGAAATTATTCTTTAGTTTTATCTTTCAGTATTTCCAAGGTGCAGTATCAGAACTGACCATTAGAGGGAATTAGACAATATTTCCAGGTTTATTTTGTATTGGGTTTTTTTTAACCTTTTTTGTCTGATTTTAAGGACAATGCAATGAATTATCTCTGTCTTTCTGTGAATGCCTGTTGTGTTACATGTGGCCATGCTAGCTGACAATGACAGGCCTTGTAGTCCAATACATCTGCTTATTCTGAGGGATCGGGGGGTGGGGTGGGGGGGAAGGAATCTGGAACTTGTGGAAGGCTGGCCTGCCAAAAGTGATAGACAACAGATTGATCAGGAAAGGTGTAACAAGACACAATGGGAATCTAGCTGGGTTATAGTAGCTAGGAGGTGTCTCCTGGTGTGGTGGATAGTTAGATAAGTTATTACTGTACTAGGAGTCAAGGTTTGGGTTTGAATCCCTACTCAAGCATGAAATGAAAGTTGGGGGGGGGGGGT